GTTTGACGTTATTCTTTTATGAATCTATTTCTAGCCTACGTATAAAAACAAATAATAATAATTATACATTAAAGGACTTAAAGTGCTTAAAGGGACATTTGTAGGTCGAAAATATTTTGGCTCAAATTGGTGAAAACTATACACCAAAATCTAGAGAAATGTGTCCTTTATGTTGACTACGTAAGGTTGCCTACGTAAGGTTTTCTAATTGGATAAAGGGTTTTATAATTTGAATAAATAAGAAAGAGAAAAAAATAATCGTCCATTTTTTTTTTTTTTTTTTTTTTTGCAATAGAGGTTGTAAGAGTATTGACTCTCAGACTGCGTCCAATCAGTCCAACCCCGATCAGGGATGCTGGGGTGAATTAGAAGTCACAATAGGAGAACATTAAATTAATATAAAAACGATTTTGAATCATAAATGTCTGTATTTCATTATGGCAGGCCTAGCTTCTCGATATATTGTCTGACAATTCCATTTCTTTGCTTCCGACAAGCTTTGTTGACTGAGATTAGAAGGTTTCTTTGATGTGATGGGTTTTACTAGTAGTGTGGTGAAATCAAAGCTAAGATTAATTTGTAATGTATTGAAGATAGAGCTGTAGTTTGCATGTCGACACATTAGTTTTATAGCAGATAAAATATTGATGAGAAAATAGTTTTATAGTCTAGAAGATCTGCTATCGTTATGTAGAGAGAGCGAGTTAAAGAGATTGGGTTCTAAAATAATAACTTGTATTAAAACATGTAATTTCAATCGAGACAAAACGAAAGATAAATACTTGAAGCAATTTTAAAATAACACTTGGCCACAAGAAATATGGTCGATTATACGAGTTTTGTGCCATTTATAAACCTGGTATCAGTTTCACCTCACCAGGAAAAATTTTGAGTTAAACCATATAATACAGCAGCAGTTGGAGAAGCTCAACACTCCATTGTTGTTGGGTACCATGATTGCTGATCACAAGTCGTCAATGTTTTTTTAATGTTACTATTTACGAACAGATGAAGTCTGAAGTAAGCAAATGAAACATTTTTTTAAAATAGTCTTAGTCTTACCGACACAATTCCTCGTTTCTTTTTCCTCGGATTTAATTCCACAATGAAACGACCTATCAAGTAAGCGTCAAGTTGAATACAGTTGGTATGTCTTGCCAATCCTCCATTTTAAAAGGAATCAGTATGCCAGCAATAAATATTTGAAGGTGTATCTTGGAGGTTGATGTTTTGTCCATCATTCGTGACATCTTCACAATCTACTGACAGAAGATATTCATCAACAGAACGTGTTGGTTCTTTAGCATCATCTAAACTATAGTGTGTGCTGTAGAA